TGTCAAAACACACTCTACTGTCACGTATGTCTAAAAAGGACAATAAAATAGTGGAAAAAAAAGATCCATTCTTTACCTCCCACTGAATTGTAGTTGTCCTTCTGACATAAATTAAGTAACCATATACTATATTATGTGGCTTTATTCCCAGTATCTTGATTACTATAGCTTTACAATAATTCTTAATAGCTGACAGGGTACATCCTTCAACTTTATTTTTCTTTAAGATTACCTTGACTGTTCCACATGCTTTGCATTTCCATAAAAATTTTGGAAGCAACTTGTTGATATCCATCCAACATTAAAAAAAAAAAGTTTGCTGGAAGTTTGATTGATACTTTATTGAATCTGTGGATATGGTAGAATCTGCATCTGAACATAATGTCTTTCCACTTTTTTTTTTTTTACATTATCTCATCAGTGTTTTGTATTTTTCAAAGTATGGGTCTTAGACATATTTTATTAAATTATTCCTTGTATTTCATGTTGTTTAGTGCCATTGTAAGTAGTACTTCACTAAATTTTATTTTCATTTTTGTTAATATGTAGAAATTTCATTGGGATTTTGTATATTAACCTTGTATTCAGCAACCTTCTTACATTTCCTTGGTGATTCCAGTGACTTATTTGTAGAATCTTTGAAATTGCATTTTCTACATAAACAATTGGGCTTTCCATTAATAATTACAGTTTTACATTTCTCTTTCCACTTCTTATATTTTTCTTTTTCTTGCTTTATTGTAAGGTCAGGATCTCTACTATAGTGTTAAATAGAAGTGATGATAGTAAGTAGCCTTATCTTATTTCTGAATTCAAGGGTAAAACTTTAATATTTTACCTCTTTTAATATTTTGTACCAGCTCACTAAGCTATATGAATATATTTGCTTTTCACTTTTGATCCTAACCAGAAATAGCAGTGTTGAGCTTGTCTTAGATCTTCTGTTTTGTCATTTCATCACTTCTCTCAATATATAGTATTCTCAGAAGATTTCTATTTCATGGGGATCATAGAATCCCTGAAAAYTCAGTGTATTTTTTCAGTAATTAAAAATGACTGCATCAGTGTGATATTAGAGGTATTCTGGGGGTTTCAATTAAATATTAATAGAGTTTTCCTTTGATGCTTTTTATGATTCACTATTGTTTTAATTTAAACTTTTGTCATTTGTGTTTGTATTTAATATTTTTTTTAGTTGTAAGTGGGGCAAAATATCTTTATTTATTTTTATGTGGTGCTAGGATCGAACTCAGTGCCTCATACGTGCATGGCAAGTCCTCTACCACTGAGCTACAGTCCCAGTCCTTGTGTTTGTATTTTTAATAAAAAAAAATACTTGAATGTTAATACTTTGGCAGTTCTTGTTCAGTGATTCTCATCTGGCAATGCCTGGAGACACTTGGTTATCATAACTGACGAAGGGTACTACTGGCATCTGGTGGATAAAGGTCAAGGTGATTTATGAAACAGCATTTTCTAGCCCCAAATGTTAGTAGAACTGATACTGAAAAGCCCTGATGTAGTTCAACCCCTTCATTTGAAACTGAGGCCCACAAATATGAAGTGAATTGCTGTTACCTATTTTAAATAGTGTAAGGACTGTATATCCCACATTTACAAATAGTTGTCATTATTGTGAGAAACATACTGTGAGAAGGTCTGCTTGCATCCATTGTCCCTGTTAGCTCCCAGGACAGTATATATTATTCCCTATGTTTTAGGCAGGGTACTGGGGCATACAAAGGTTCATCTGTTAACTAATTTATTCAATAATCATTTTGTGAGCAGTGCTAGACCTTTTTTTTWWWWAAAAAAAAAGTCAGATGCAGTGACTGCATTGTGGAGATTATATTCTAGTGAAGAAGACTGACCAGACAGTTGGAAAGTATTGAAAATTATGACAAGTGATATGAAGGGRAAAAAGGGAGGGATGAGATAGAAATGAAATGTGAGGAAGAAGTCCACTTTATTTAAATAGGGAGACTGGAATTGGCTTCTTTGTTGTACTGAGATTTAGCTGAGACTTGTCAAATGAATAGAAGAAAGTTATGTGAAAAGTATAGGGCCATTCAGGTGGAGGGACCACCATGGGGGTTGAAGCAGGAAACAGTTTGATCTTTTTTTAGGAAATAATAGCAGACAGCTGTGACTGGAATACAGTCCGCAGTAGGGAAAGTGACTTGAGATTGGAGATGTGGACACGGTAGGTGCAGGAAGATAGTGCAAGCCCCACAAGCCATGCGAAGGACTTTGAATTTTATGCTGTTTGCAATGAGAAGTTATTGAAGGATTTTCAGCAGGGGAGCAACATGGTCCCATCTGTGCTTTTTAAAACTCCTGCTATTGCCTGTACAGTAAACTGGAATAATRGGACAAGAATAATGTCCTATTATTGGGAGTCTATAGCAGCAATTCAGGTTGGAGAGTAAAACAGATTTGAAACATTTAAATTTTGTTTTGAAATTATAAATTACTGGATTTGATGATTAACAGAGATGTGGGGATGGTGAGGGAAAGTGAGAAATCAAGGATAACTACTAGGTTTCTGGATGAATTTTGGGGGATGGAAAAGATTGGGGGAGGAACACTTTGGGAGAGTAGGGTGAGAGAGATCCATTAGTTTGATATTGAACAGATAAGAGGTGTCTGATGGTGACTTAAGCTGCAGGGTGATTTCATTTCTACATGCTCCACCTTCAGCAGAAATGGTGGCAAGTTGATCACTTCCCTCGAGAGGTTAAGTTATTTAGAAAGATAATGGACTGTATGTGGAAGAGGGCTCCACTGGTTTTCTTAAGTTCCGGGTTATAGCACTGGCTCTAGAGCTCCCTGGTTGGTACCACTGAGCTCAGCCAGCGTCTCTGGATGGTTTCTTCATCTGTGAAACRGGCATGTTGGCCTTAATGTGCCTTAAGGTTCCTTGCAATAATGTTTTGTGGCTCTGAATTTAAATTATCTCCATGGCTTTTTCTCTCATTGCAATTGTGGTCCTGTTCCCTGGCTAGGAATTTTTAGCTTACCTGGAATTTATAGCCAGAAATTTGGTGTCAGACCTCTTTTTGCATTTTTCCTTTGCTTCTTTATACTCAACAGGCTTATAGATTTCCTCCTGATGTGTTCCTTCTGGTAACAAAACCAACCATTTGTTGCYTGTTTAGTATATAAGACCACTACCAAGTATTGGGGTGTCTATTTCTAATATTTTTTAAATATTTAACTGTGAAAGATTTTTTAATCTGTGCCCTATGAAATGTTTCCCTTTTAGTTCATCCTAAATATGCCTCAGCTCTTCCAAGATCCAGTGAAGCTTATGCTGTACAGAGAACAGTTAAGGCAGGAACCATTGCCCTGAGAGATGCTCTTCTCCAGACTAGTGCAGAACCAGTTCCCACTTAGGAACACACTGTTCCAGCCCTTCCAGGGAAAACACAGAAGTGCTGCCTGGAATTAAGTACACACATCAATCAGGCTGATAAGTCTTATCCCCAGTTAATATATAATAAAATATTAACAAAGCTAAATCAAATGAGTTTTTAGTTTAGCTATATAAGTGGAAAGCAATTTTGAGGTCTGTTGCATAAAGAATTCCAGTTCCGTGGTAGAGAAGCAAATAAATGGGATTGGGGTGGGGTGAAAGAGGGGGATGGATGAATCACCCATTGCTAACTCATTGCTATCAGCTGTGGTTAAGGCCAAAGGAGAGGCTTTGCAGATTTCTTAATGCTGGATTTCAAGGTCTGCTTTCAGAAATAAATTTGTATTAATATTAGTGAACAAATTTGAAGGATCTGTGCTGTGAGCAATTTGTAGTAACTAACAGTAAGTCCTTGTAATAGTCCAGTATTGGTTTTTACTTAATAAAATATTTAATCACAAATGTCTGAATTCTGCATCTCCCACAGGAAGTTATTTCCATGCCCACTGACAAGAATAATTCAGCAGTTTCATAGTTGAGCGCTTAATTACTCATAATTGTGAAGGGTAAGAAGTGATGAATTCTTCCTCCATGGACATACTAAATATTTTAACTAAGTAGATGACTTAAAGTAAATTAAGCTAGTGAGGTCATTTATTCCGTTGGTTAAGAGCAGTTTGAGAAATATATCATGTCCTGTATTCCATTAGATAATTATTTGTGCRTGACTACTTCTGGGTGACTGAAGGTGACATTGTTGGGGTGAGTGGCAGATCTGGGGGTGAGAGGTGAGTGTTAAGTTCACAGAGATTTGTTTTGTTGTATTTTACCTGAGTCACAAAGGAAGATCCTTAGCTATATGTAGAGTTTTGTTACCAAACTGACAGGAAAACTACACCTTTGTTTGGTGTGAGAGTTGTTTGTTCTCTATCGGAATCAAGGAAGGGACTAGACCGCAGGCTGTCCCCTTAAACYTTGTCAGTATGTGCTTTGGGAAGATGGCCTTATTTGCAAACACCATCGAAAGCAGTTAGGTACAATGAAGGGGTGAAATTACATGCAGAAATTCGGTTAAAAAAAAAACAGTTAAATAAATTTCTGAAGTAAAAAGAAATTTACATTTTGGAGGCGAGGAAACAGGAATTCAGTGTTTCTGAAGTGCACTTCCTAAGTTGCCTCAGCAACAGTCTAGCAGCGTTTTCAGGCTCAGGAGCCTCCTGCTTACCATTAGGGAAGGCTGAAACAACACGTCTCATTAAGTTAAGCCTCTTCCCTAGAGTGCCTTATTTAGCTTTAGTTCTCTTAATTCTCTTTCCCTGGTGATTTGGGTAAAGTGTCTGAAACCACGAAAGGTAAAAGGTTGAAGCAATCCCAAATTTAATAATCTATCACCTTTCTTTAGTGTATCTGAATGTAATTCCCAGCAGTTCTTCGTGAATTCATTAGAAGACAGCAAGTCATTAAAAGTTAATAAGAAACTATTTGTTTCTGTGAGTGTGAGTAAAACCACTTTGCCAGTCTGACATTCTTTTCCAGTTATAAAAGCCTTGCTTTTAGCCAGTTTTTGTTTTTTTGGTCTCTCTAGATTACTCCTGGATGGAGCGCCTCTGATAGCGATCCACAAAGCCAGGTATTACAAGAGAAAAGATGGCTTAGCCCTGGGGCCTGGACCCTTTGTGACTGCTTTAGAGTATGCCACTGACACCAGCGCCATAGTAGTGGGGAAACCAGAAAAGACRTTCTTTTTGGAAGCATTGCGGGGCACTGGCTGTGAACCTGAAGAGGCCGTCATGATAGGAGATGTAAGTAGAAGAGCCCAGGAGATGCCCTGCACTCACCCCTTTGCTAGGACGGCTGKCTTTGAAGCACTGCTTTAGGGAAGTGGACTTTTTGTTACTCAAGAGAAGAATAGTCAGAAGCAAGCTTTCCTGTAGATGTTTGACAGTATTCTTGTAAGCATTTGAAATTTTGATTGTTTCTGACAGTTCTCCAAAGTGTGAGGGCATGTATAATTTTAAAAAATGTTTATATTGCAAGTCAGTTAAATGCTTTACATTTTTTTCTGAAGAAAATCCCTATAAAACCTAAAGTATTTTGAGCATTATGCAGAGAACAAAATATAACTAAGGACTTTTATAAGTAGTGATCCTCCAGCCTCAACCTCCCCAGCTGCTGGGATTACAGGTGTGTGCCACCATGCCCAGCTTCCTTCTTATTTTCTTTTTCCCATTTCCCTTCTTCCTCTCCCCATCCCCATTTCTTCAATGGGCAAATTTGACTATAATGGAAAAAGGTTTTAAGTAAGACCTTAAACAAAGAGTTTGACATTCTGAAGCTAATTTCTAAGGGTCATTGWTGAACAAACTTAAAGATTTTTGTGGAAAAAATCTTCTTTAGGCATAATCTGAATGAATCCTGCTTGTACATATGAGATAGCAGGACTGATTTTCTTTTTCTTTATTATTTTTTTCTTAGGACTGATTACTTGACCAGGCCTTGGAATTTTAATTGCCTTGCATTCATTGTTACACTCAACCAAGTATTTATTTATTTTGTTTTATATTCTGTTTTGGTGGGTTTCTTACTATTTTGTTAGTTTTTTTTCGTTTTGTTGGAAAAGGTCTTACTATGTTGCCCAGGTTGGCCTCAGACTCCTAGGCTCAAATGTGATCTTCCTGTCTCACTCCCATGTGCTGGGAGTAAAGATGCACGCCACTGTGTAAGTGTGTTTATCCCTATTTGAATAAGAATTGGACAGGGGAGCTCCCTTTACAGATTGATGTGTGATTCCCAGATTTAGTGAAGTAAACATAAATAGTTACAGTCTGATTAAGTATACTGCTTTGATTTGATCCTATCTATTATAGACAATTGGATGGAAATTAAGAGTAATATATTACGTGGGCCACTAAAAAGTGATCTTCTAAATCGAGTTCATTCACTGTTTACAGCTGAGTTATTCACTGTACAAGCTGTCAAATGCATAGAATGCTTTTTTCCCCGGTGATCTGTTTTAAGAAGAAATAGGTATACTTGTGGCAAGGCATAGACTCTTCACTGTTGTCCGTGTTCAGTTACTGGAATTCCTTACGCTAGTGTTTGCTTTCCACCTCAGCAGCGCTTTCTTCTCCAAATATGGTTCTCCTYCTCAGAGTATTTCATGTGGAGTCACCCCTTTTCACCTTCTCCTCTTTCATTTTGAAAATAAAAAGCAGGGGATTCCAAGTGGCGATCCCATCCTAATTAATTGTTGGCAGARTGTGTTGGCAAGCAATAAAAGACGCTGGACTAAGTGCCTTTTTCTGCTTTTCCAGGATTGCAGGGATGATGTTGGCGGGGCTCAAAATGCTGGCATGCTGGGCATTTTAGTAAAAACTGGTAGGTATCTTCTGTATGCCTTTCCAAATGCCTTTCCAAAAACAGGGTGGTAGAGTTCACAGTTGCCCAAAGAATAGCCTTTGTTGAAATGGTAGAACTCTGGGCTCTAATTTTCTTTCTACATGAAGAAAAATGAAATGGGCTTAGGATTAAAAGGAAAAAGACCATAGGGGTGGGGGGAACATGCTGCAAAAAGGTGGGAAGATCAGGGCTCGAGGCCTGATAGTACCTGCCCTGTTCACCATGTCGGAATGGAGCAAGGACCATGAATTGTGGTGCTCTGAGAAAACATTTGTTTTATGCCAGCTATCTGATGATAAAGTTGATTTCTTTAAGAACTGGTCATCTGTGTGCTCTGATCCTCTATCTTCACRCTTGCATTTTAAAAAAATATATACCAGCTGGGTGGGCATGACACACACCTGTAGTCTCAACAACTAAGGAGGCTGAGGCAGGAAGATCGTAAGTTCAAGGCCTGCCTCAGCAACTTAGACTGTCTCAAAAAGAAAAAAATAAAGAATACAATAACAGAAAAAAAGTGGCCTGCTCCCAATTTTAATCCTCAGTACAGGCTAGAGTTGAATAGAGTTGGGGGAAGGTGGTGTGAAAATATATACATACCAGCACACACATAAAAAACTTCTTTATTTTCATTTGCTGGTTTTGGTGACCAAAAGCTTAAGAAGTATTTCCTACACTAAAATTAGGTTTACTTTATATGATCTCTCAAATTTTAAGAAAAAAGAAAGACCTTCTTGGAGACTATTCACCTAATATGACATATTTTTTTAATATTTTTTTTTAGTTGTGGTTGGACACAATACCTTTATTTTATTTATTTATTTTTATGTGGTACTGAGGATCGAACCCAGGGCCTCGCACAATCTAGGTGAGCACTCTACCGCTGAGCCACAACCCCAGCCCCCAATACGATATTTTGACTGATTCAGTGTCCTGTATTCTGGTCTCATTTCTGTGCTGATTTGCTGTATGAAACTCTGGTCATGGCTCTTTTCCCTTTGGGCCCTTGAATCTCCTAGGTGAGGATCCCTTAGGTGGTCTACTTGTAGTCTCTTCAAGGTAAAGAAGAAACAGTCATGGGAGTTGTGAGAGGGTCAGATATTTTTGCATGGGGAAATTTAATGGGTTTTTCAAAAGATAATGAAAGGTTCCCACCCCACCCTCAAATGGCACCTGCTGAATTCAAAACTAATAGCACATAATAATGGGAAATCTTGTCCAAGAATTGCCATCAGGTTTTTGTAAATCAAGTAACAGATAAACAGTTGTGTACACAACTCTGGGAGCTCATTTGCATAGTTTCGTATGATGGTAGTGAAACTATTTAACAGACTGTTCAGAAAAGGTAAAATTGAAACATAAAAGTCATAGGAGTTTTACCATGGGGAAATCTTTTAGAGAAAGTGACTATGACCTGAGTTCAAGAAAATTGTGATTGCGGAAAAGTTACTTTAAAATTAAAATGGGAAAATCTAGATGGAGCTAGAGTTGAATAAGAGGTACAGAGGGAAACCCCACATCTGCTAGAGCCTGAGCTCTGGAGTGGGCCATCCTGGGCCCACCGATAGTAACACCAGTCACTGCAGGATTAACACAATGTCTTTTCACATTTCTCCATCAAAATGATTGTCACCTACCCGGGAATGTTATGGCCCTGTGATGTAAGTAGCAAGAGGAAGCATTAACCAAGTCAGGAAACACAGACCACATCATCCTCTCTGCGTCTTTGTTCTCACTGTTCTGCCTTCAGTTTTATCCCATTAAGGGATCCTCAGATAACTATTTTTGCTTGTGGGTATTATTCCCATAAACATTTCCTTTCTTGAGCTCACATAGTTAAGGATTTATACCAGCTATCAAAACTGGACCCGTGCAGTATCGTGAGTGGCCTGTGTGAAAAGCATCCAGTTAGTCTTAGGCTAACAGCATAACGGTCAAATCTAAAATGTGTAACTAATAAAGCAGCTAAGTCCATCTCATAGAAATAGACCCTCTTGTACTATTGGGTTTTTGGTCACAAAAATCCAGAGTAAGCCCACTGTTCTAAAACTGTGAGCTCCATTGATAAAATTTAGCCCAATACTATGGACAAGCACTGGGCTTCACAGTGTTTAAAACTACTAAAATATTTTAATTCATATTCAGTAAGAAGTACTATTTGTGGATAGTCTTGAGCAATTTTTTTTCAATGGGTAGCATATGGTAGATACATAATATACATTTTTTTAGTTATTTTTTAATAAAGATTTAAAATCTTAATAAGGGTTTTGACTTGTCCTAACCAGAATTCATCTCTGTTTAACTTATAAAGTAGTCATGTAGAAAGAAATGAGCTTGCCCTTTGTCTTATAGCATCAGCATGGCTTCCTAAGTCCCCCCTGTTCATTTATTCACTCACAGAGGCACAGGCTGCTGCAGGGCAGGGATGCTGCTTCATTCCTCTTGCTGACATTGAGCACCTGCTGTGTACAGGCTCCGTGTGAGGTGCCAGAACTGGAACATATTCTTGGGCCACTGGTATCATCTGTACTTTGTAGAGACCCCACTGGCAAAGCCAGACAAGCAGAAACATTCTAGAAGCCCTTAACTCTGTAGTTAAGAAACTTACTTGCCCCTTACACCATAGATCTTGGAAGTAGGTAACACAGCAAGTTATTTATTAACATACCTATGAGACCAAGCAGAAACCTTGAAGAGAAGCTTATACTTAAAGGACTTAAGCTTGAGGTGGGGGTGGGGGAAACGGAAACTGCCAGTAGAATTTTCCATATGGATCATGCTATGGAGAAGTGACTTGAGGGTGCTGGGGTAAGTGAGGTATATGCCAATTACCTAGATGTACATTTGATGCTGATTTCTTTTTTTTTTTAAGAGGGGGAGAGAGAGAGAAGGAGAGAATTTTTTAATATTTATTTTTCAGTTTTCRGTGGACACATCTTTATTTTATTTTATGTGGTGCTGAGGATCGAACCCAGTGCCCCACGCATGCCAGGCGAGCGCTTTACCGCTTGAGCCACATCCCCAGCCCTGATGCTGATTTCTTCTCTGTAACAAATCAGTCAGTAGGATAGGATAGTACATATCTTCTCCAGCACAGTGCAAAGACTTGGAAGTGGGGTTGAGGTTTCAGGCTTTGCGTTTGCTAGGTAAAGCCCTCTGTTTAGTCAACTGTTCATCACTGTGACCAAAATATCTGACAAGAATTTAGAAGAGGAAAAGTTTACTTTGGGCTCACAGTTACAGAGACTCAGTCCATGGTTGTCCAGCTCCATTGCTGTGGGCCTGAGGCGAGGCAAAACATCATGGTGGAAGGACGCRTGGCAGAGGAAAGCTGCTCAGCTCTTGGCAGCCAGGAAAGAGAAAGAGAGTGCACACTCACAGAGCCAAGGACACCCCCAACCCCCATCGTGACCTGTTTCTTCCAGCCAGGCCCAGCTGGCCTACAGATAGCACCCCATGGTCCACCATTCGCTGCTCCACTGATGGGGTTACAGCTGTCRTGATCAAACCCCTTCACCTCTGAACATTCCTGCGTGGCCTAACATGAACTTTGGGGAACACCTCATATCCAAACCATATCACCTCCTAAAGAGRGAGTTGTAGAAAAGGTGGGCCTGTTGTTGGGGCAGCTGGATTTAGGCAGAAAAAATTGAATAAAGCAGACAAATAAATAGCAGAGATAACAGAAAATGGAATGAGAGAGCAAAAATATAAGTGCAGATAAGTAGCCTCCTTCCTGTGGTCCTCCTGCAACGCCCCCCCCAACACTTCTCTTTTCCCTGCCCACCTCTTCCCATTCATTACTCCCTCCTTCCTTTTATTCATTGCATTTATTCTTTTAAACAAATATTTAGGGAAGGCGTGCTGGTGTTGATGTTTGTGCTGGGAATCCACTGGGGCACCCGACAGACAGTCTCTGCTCTGAGGAAGCTTACAGTCCTTTAGATTCGAGGCAGACATTAAACAAGTAAATGCATTGTTGCACGCTGCCATAAATGTGGAGGCAAAGAACAATGTTCTAGGAGAGAGAGAATAACAGGGAAGAGCTTTTCTGAAGGGCACTGGGGCCTGAGAAGTGTATTTAAATAGGGACCATGCACCATCTGATTCACATGTATGAAAGCTCTCCATAACCACTGTAGTGGAATGGTTCCTCTGAGTTGGGGTGTCGAGTTGTGTGCCAGGCCCAGGAACAGCAGGCTACCTGGAATTCCAGAGTCAAGAGAGTCTGGCAGTGTTCCTGTCACCTAATGCCTACCTGCTACCCTGCCTGGCACTGCCCTGGGAGCACCCATTACTTTCCTTTCTCCACCCCCAGGCTTCCAGGGTAGATTGACAGCAGCACRTTCCAGTCACCCTCAGAGCCTACAAGGTCTCTGCCCTCCCAGATATGAACTTCTATTTGAAATCATTGATTTAATCATCCTTTCTATCTTAAGGGGTGGGGTGGGGAAGGAAAGTAATTTCATTAGCGGTGATTTGAAGGGAATCTTAACCACCATGTGACCTGTGATTGTCCCTTGTGWACAACCAGAGGACCTGTGACAACACTGAATGTGACATTTCTTTGAACTGCCTCCTTGCATCCTGAAACCTCAATAAAAAGTGCTTTAGGGGATGTGGATCCCCTAATTTACTAAGTAAGTAAAGGCCAGGTGCTCAGGGGGCATGATTAATTTAGCATTCTAGCAGTAGGCTCTGTTCACTGGCTTTTCCTTCATTTCAGGGAAATACCGAGCAGCAGATGAAGAAAAAATTAGTCCACCTCCCTACCTAACTTGTGAGAGTTTCCCTCATGCCGTGGACCACATTCTGCAGCATCTCCTGTGACCCTCCTGTGAATGTGAAGCAACTTRACACACAGCTTTCATTGTCTGGAATGGATCCCTTACCAACTTGGTGCAGCATCAGTAGCCACGAGCCATTCAGAGCTGATTATGCTTTAACCCTCTTTTATTGTGCATTAATTAGAAAGAAAGGTATTGAATTGCATCCAGCTACTAAGCCTTGCTAATCTCTTTTGTTTTATTTTGTAAAAGAAGATGAGACCTGAAGAAAAGAAAAGCTGAGATTTTATGCCATTCCCTCTAAAATATTCATCAGGTTCGCAGGGCTGGGAGAGAGAAGCTCCAATGGGGAATGGTGTTCTCTGCTGTCTCCTGCTGGAAATCGGGAGGGGGATTCAGACTGTGAATAAAGTTGAATGGTGGTTTGTAAATTATAAAGTGATGCGTTGAAAGGTGYGTTAGCCTCATGTTTTGAAATTGAGTTCAACTGTGAGACCTAGCCAAAGAGCCAAGTGGAGTACAAGACAGAGGCAGCAAAATGAATTGTCCTTCAGACTGTTGAGTGAATTTACTTTAACAGATGTTGAAAACTAGATTTTCTGTTGAATTYCCAGCACGGGTGACTTCCTTTCTCTTCATTAGCCAGAGATGACTAATTTAAATTTAGAACCTGATTTTAATTTAAAATAATATTTCCATTAATAACCTATTCATTGCAGATACCTATTATACTGTGTAACAGTTGTTTTGGAAATTTTATGTAAAATTAAAACTATCAGTATTTTACAGATGTTTTAATTAGACATTGTTATTAACAGGAACAGTGCAGAAACTAAAATCAAGCCTTTAATGTCTTATAGACCATGCATTTTTGAAGTTAGTGTCCACCAGGGTCCTATTAACTGTACATTTGCAAGATTTCATTATTTTTGCCTCTGACACTATGGGAAAAATCTTTTAGAAGCTACTGGGACAGATTCAAGCTTTTATGTACTTGGTTACTACAGCTGTAAAATGAAATCTCGTCTTGTAGCATGGATTATTCTTCTCATGTTAAACCCACCCAAATGAAGGGGACTAAGTAGGTAATGATTTTCCTAGTGMATTTGCATACTGTGATAATCCTGGGCCTTTGCAATTGTTTTACAGGGCTCTTGGGCATTGAATTATTAGAATGTAATTGTACATCATTGTAGTGTTCACCTTATTGAAGTGCACGCTGATGTTAATGAGCTTCGGGTTTTGATGCTTGTTTAGAGATCAGCTCGGTCTTGGATGGGAGGGAGCAAAGCTAAATAAATGATAGTTGGGCAAGCACTTTTCTTGTTTTTGCAAAAGCCCCAACTTAATACTTATGTYTAGAAGCAAAAGACAGACATGGAATGACCAAGCCCCCAGGTCAGCAGGCTGCATGGAGTGGCTGTGAGCAGAGCTTCTGGAGTCCCACCAGCATACACCAAGCCCTCTGACCTTGAGCAAGTCACCTTACCTCACAGGCCTCCTGTCTTTATTTGTAAAATGGGGATAATGGCAGTGCCTACCACACAGGGTTGCTGTTGAATATTAAATACTTGAAACACATTTAAGTATTTAGACTGGAATGGGGCAGATTAAGTGCTGTGTGTCTGCAGTGGTGCTGAACGGGTGAAGGGACTGTCTGCCAGTAAGGGGCTGTCTCTGAGAGAGTCTTCCTGAGGATTAAAGGAGATATGATGCTGCACTTGGGCAGTCTCAGGGCAAAGCTGCAGCAGGAGAAGCCCAGCATGCAGGTAGAAAGCACTGCCTGGTGGACAGGCCACAGTCAGCTTTGACTTTGACTTGTGCTCTGGAGTTAGGGATTCCTTGCCTAGGAGTTTATCAAATGTTTGCCAGTTGCCGTGTGCTAACTGGTGTGCTATCCCTGATTTTTATGGGAAGTAAGCATATAAGAAGGGTTTTGCCTTGATCCTTTCTAATCAGAGCTAAGGAGAATGCTTAAGTCAGGAACACCAGGAAGACAACTCCTGTGTCTCTGATGTCTTCCCTGCCCGCAGACTGGAGCAAGGTGCAGCCTCCTTCATCCCCAGGTGGCACTTCTTATATTGCCCTTGTGTCTTCACACTTCTCTTCTCCCCACCAGACARGACTGAGTCATTTTCTATACTTGCTGCAACACAGGCGATCAGTTATTGAACCAATAAAACTAAATACTACAGGAATGTAATGTTGGAAGGCATAGCTTTGGGGGGGGGCATGGAATGTTTCAGTGTAGAGTTACTGCCTTAAAGATGCGTATCAGGGAGGCTGCATTCGACATTTGGAAATAATGGAGTTGATATGTGGAGACAGCTTAGAGCTAAGACCTCATGATGGATCAGGAAGTTGAACAGTCCCAGGCATAGGTGAGACCTGAGCAGACATACCCGGCCCAGAGAATCGGCTTCTGCCCTTTCCTCCATGTTTGAGATATTTATTTAACAAACATGGCTTGCTAAGTGACACCTGTCCACAGAGACGTCCATGGAGACAAATAAAAGTCTCATCTTAGATCAAAATAGCTACAAATACTCCAAGTGTTAGTCTTAGCTGGTTATAGGCCACCTTGAGCCTCACAGAGGAAGTACAAGTAATTCAAGCATCTGTAGAGTTTCCTTCTCCACCCATCCCACAATTAGAGGATCTTCTTGTGGTATTGACCACAAGGACAGTGTCTGTATAATTTTTACTGTAATCCTATCCTGTGCCAGGAAAGGGACCAAGTGGCTGACACCTTGGTTCTAGAAAAGTGATGAGAATACCCACTGTCAGGAGATGGCTGCAGGGCATGCGCTGTGAGTTGGTGTGCAGAGGACCGGGAGGCTCCACCGCTTTCCTCGCACCTCTCCGTTGCTGAGGCTGGCTTTGAACCCAAGATCTTCCTGCCTCAGCCTCCCAAGCCACTGGAATTGCAAAGCATGCACCACTGTATCCAGCTAGTTAAGAATTTTTAAAATACATTAATCTGTTTCACCAAAGGYTCTGTCTTGAGTGGTAGACACCCTTTTCATACTAGCAGTTGTTTACACAGGGCCTTGTTTGCATTATCACGCTTAGTTGGTCTAAGTCACAAAGGCCTTTTCAGCATAAATGCACAAGGCCTTTACTGACTTTATTACACCAGCCACCAAGGCCTACTAGCTGAAARCATGTTACTCTCTTTAAGGAGCAGTAATGAGGCACCCGAGCACCAGAAATCATTTATCATAACAAACTGCTTATCTCTCGGTTTGAGTACCTTACATTTTCCAATGCTCACCTTCATGTCATACACATCTAAACTGTTTGTTTCACTGGCTGATGTAGCTGAGAGAATCATATTAAATGCTTGCTGGGTAAAGCATAAGGAAGACAGTGGAATGCTGCTCTGACTTCTTCAATGTCAACCTTCTAGGTGGGGAATTGAAGCATATAAAAATACATCTGACAATATAYAAAGGGCTCTAACAAGTTCAAAATGGTGTGTAAGTCCTCTAAATGAGAAGTTCTGTGCAGCAAGGTATGTGCTATGGAACAAAAGTCACAAATTCTGTGAAGCAAACGCTGCTCAGATAGCTTTGACCTATGCCATTAAAAAAAAAAAATGTTCATTCATTCAGTAGCAGCCCAGAAAGTACCACAGTCAAGGCTTATATTTGAGGAGGGTAAATGGGCAACAAAACACATGCACAAATACACGACTACCTACTATAATGAGAGATTCATATGATGACAACTAAAACCAATAAAAGGGAGGGATGGGATAATCTGGTAATTCCAGATAATCCCAGGTGCATCGGATAAGGCTTCTGATGGGAATGAAGTGTGGGAGTGAATGTGAGTTGTACAGGCAGGTGGTCATCCTTAGTTGTTGACATTTGAGAATCAGGAGATTCAAGTGCAAATCAATTACTGGGTTTTCTAGGAAGATTAGAAGATCTGGCAATGTTGGACCAAATTCCCACATTCATCTGAGGTTGAATCATTCATTGCTGTGCCCTTCACAGTCTCCTTCATCCCCAGTTCTCCAGACCCCCGTCTGTCTTGAAGAACCACACTCAGCTTATTTTACTCATTGGGTATCAAGTTCATTGTTTCTGTGGGTGTTTGAGTCATGACCTCTTGCTTTAGAAGAAAATAACACACATGGATAAAGTCATCTTTCGCTAATAGCCAATTTCCTATATAAATTTAGATGTGTGTGTGTGTGTGTGTGTGTGTGTGTGTGTATTTGTTTGTTGAGATAGAATGTTGCTAGGTTGCTGAGCCTGGCCCTGAACTCAAAATCTCCCTGCCTCCGCCTCACAAGTAGCTGAGACACTTTCAATCCACTTTCCAAAAAATAACTAGATAGACCCTATAGTACATGACACATAAATATGTATTAGTTGGTCTTTCTCAAAACTCTAGAAAAATACCAGAAAATAAATAAAGAAGTTATAAACCCACAAGATCAACCAACAACAATGTCAGAGAAGACGTCTGTGAATAAAGAGATGATGATTTGGATAATGGAAGGTAGACGGGTATTGATCATTAAAATCAGCACAAAGAAAATACAAYTAAAATGTATCCAGTGGAATAAACTCAAAGACTCGTCTTCGAGGCAACAGATAGCAAGGAAGAGAGGTTGAAAGCAGGTTGAAAGGTGAGGAATTGGCTAAAAGCTGATTTGTTGGAGTTCCAGAAACCTTTCCCTGCTGAGCAGCCAGATGACCACCCACCCCTGGGCAAGGCAGGAGTGTGGAGGTTTTCCATTATACTCTAGAAACATGGAACCATGCAAGTTAAGGCCTTGGGGACAATGGGCATGATTATAGGCGAGGATGGAACACAGGGCTGAAAATGGGGATTAGGTGAAAATCTACTTACCAAGGTGCAGTTCCCCTAAGACTAGCAGGGACCAAGGGAGTAGTGAGGGAATTGAAAGTTGAYCTGTTTGGCCATTTAGAAAAGAATACTGATGAGTATCTGGCAGATTTAGGAATGTGTTGCAAGAAAAAAATAAAAACGAATACTTAGAAAATCTTTCTCTTCAAAATGAAGATCCCAGTTCAAAAACGAGCAATGCTACAGGATATTGTTCATCAAAATTTTATGGAGTCTAATTGTGAGAAAAGTCTCCATTGCCTGACCTAATAGCACATATACATGTAATTGAAATCTTCAATACTTTGCTGACATCTATGATGAAAAATTAATGAACATGTCTCATATTTCCAAAACAATAACAGTTGTCCAAATTAATCCAGTGTTCAAGAATAATTTCCTTTTCTGTTCTAATCATGATGTTCTTTTCCCACTTGTATTAATAACCTAGAGGACCTCTGCAATTACCTCTGTGGCCAGGTCAGGATAAGTGTGGTTTCAAACAGACTCAAACTCTCTTTGCCAAGCCAAGTATCTCGGAGTGAGGTTCTTTGCTGAAGGTTTGGTATGAGCCAGCACATCCAGAAAGTCAGCAGTGGTCACTGTTTCCAACTGGATCCCAGGAAAATGGGTACTCTCTAGATGAAGACAATAGCAACAGCACAACCGTCAACGTCATGGCACTGCGGCTCTTGAAAGGCTAGTAGACTTTCTTTCAAGACCATGCATACTGCAGCATTCTTTTTTAAAAAATTTTTTATATTTATTATTTTTTAGTTTTCGGTGGACACAACATCTTTATTTTATTTTTATGTGGTGCTGAGGATCGAACCCAGCGCCCTGCACATGCCAGGGGAGCGCTCTACCACTTGAGCCACATCCCCAGCCCACTGCAGCATTCTTAATGGTTAATGCAGTACAGTAAGACTAAAGAGGACAGTTGAAGAAAGTCTCTACTGTGCAATTACCTTAGCTCCTAAAGTCCAGACCATCCCCCCAAATAGTGACTTAAATGTATTGCTATCAAAGTATTATTTAATATTTATACAGTGCCTCCAGTGGCTCCATTCCAACATCAGTGTGTGCCAGAGAAGTAATAGCCCAAAGCCTAAGAAGTTTATCATCAGTGGGCAAAGCAGWCCCCACACTAGGCACCCAAGGAGATGTTGAGTGCAGGGGGATGATTTCACCAGAGCCTGCTACAAGTGGAGAAGGCCACCAAAAATAGGCACCTGGCTCCATCTGCTGGTGAGAGTTGGAATTTTAAACAGACATTTCTCTGACAGATCACCTTCACTGGTTTCCCAGTCATACCTGAATGGTGATTTTCAAGTATACTGAAGATCTTCCTCACAGGCCTCATGGCTGCTTCCCTGCAGACCAGCTTAATGTCTGAGCCAGAGTAACCCTCAGTCTCCTGAAACAATGGCAATTGTCAGCAGGCAAAATGCSGGTGGCAGTTATGGTTTGACAGGCAGGACCCACCATCCCTGGTTTAGATTCTGTGTTGGCCTCAAACAAACACTGTACACAGAGTGCTGGGTGGTAATGCTCGAGCAAAAGATGCTTCTACGATGTCTGGATAACCTCAACAGCTGGGCAGCAGCTTCCTAACTCCATCCAAATACACTGTAAGAGCTGGCAGAGGACCGGGCCACCAAGCTAGTCTAACGGGGCCCTTGGGCCCAAATCCAAGGATAGTCAAATTTGCTAGGCATTTTTGTTCTTGTAAATTTTACAATTCCTGCCTTTGAGGAACCTCAGAGAACATTATGTTCAAATATCCACCCAAAGCAGGTAACATGGTTACAAAACTCTGAGAATGGTTAACGATGGGGGGAAAACAACCTGTACCCAGAACTTGTATGGAAAGACCCATTTCATCATCACCTCTGTGGCTTGTCTGCTAACCATTTTACAGACGGAGACATTGAAGTTCCAGAGTAAGTGACTTCCCTGAGGTCACAGCTAATAAGTAGCAGGGCCTGGATTTGACCATAGATTACCTCTGTCCAAATGTCATGCTATTTCCACCAGCTTGAATTGCTTCTGTTTGAATGTTCCCAGGTAACAGGGAGCTGATTTTTTCCATGAAGAAGAGGCCSACTGCATTGTGGGGCAGTTTGGATCTTTTCTAAGTGTCTCAAGAAAGCAGCTCCTTATGTGACCCTGTCTTAGACTGTCATGTACGTGTTGGACCCTCGACCAACACAAGGGCTGCCCACCTGGCTCAGCTTGCTGTACTCCAGCTCTGTGCGCAGCTCCAGGGCTCTGCTCTTGCTCACGGGGGGCAGCCAATGGTGGATCATGGCCTGCCTGGCCTCTCGGCTGGGGAGATCAACCAAAATCCTCTTCTCCAGACGACGTAACATGGCACAGTCCAGCTCCCTGAAATTGTCACAGAAACAGAGGAAGTAGGCAGGGCGGCAAATACACTTCTTAAGCAACAACTATAATTTCTATTTTTTGCTGTTATTATTTATTGATTTTTAAATTTTTTCCCTTTTTTGGTACTGGGATTGAGCCTGGGGTGCTAAATCATCGAGCCACACCCCTAGCCTTTTTTATTTTTTATTTGAGTCAGGGTCTTGCTAARTGGTTTAGGGTTTCACTAAGTTGCTCAGGGTATCACTAAGTTACTGAGGCTGGCTTTGAACTTACCRTCCTCCTGCCTCAGCCTCCCAAGCCACTGGGATTATAGGCATGCTTCACTGGGCCCTGCTGTGACAATTTAGCACTGCAGGAAGCAATTTTGCATTTTAACTGTCACTTTACATATGTGCCTGAGTGGATAGGACAATTACATCATGTTTGGAGAAAGAATGGTGAAAGGAAGAAAAAAGAGAAAGGAGATAAATAAAGGAAGTAGTAAGAAAGAAAGAAGAGGGAAATGGGGAAGGGAGTGAAGGAGGAACAAAGGAAGAAATTTTAAAACTTTCCATGTAAAGGAGGTAATTTTAGGTGACAGTGTTGGGCAACTAACAACTAAATTGCAGTTGGAACAAGAATTATTAAACCTGATCTTGCCAGTGAGCACATTATTTCTGACAATAATTTGGGCACTCTGGGAAGTACAGTAACTCTTCCCCAAGTCTCACCCATTCTGGAGTGAACAGCCATCTCACCCCAGTGCTCTGGTGAACTCAGCACCAATATACTCCTTCCTGGGTGCCCAATGCCGACATGGCCCTTTGAGATTCTCTGGGACCAGATTTATGTAATTTTGCATTTGCAAACCATTTTCCTAACTTCTTAATATGAGATTTACAAGAAAATAAAAAAAGTAAAGTAAAACAAGGAATATCTATATACCTACCATCTTGATTCAACAACAGTTAACATTTTGGCATATCTGCTTCATATTTTATCTGTGTATTCTTGCTAAATTATTTCAAAGTAAATTACATCAAGAAATACCATCCCAAAATTATTTAGGATGCATTTCTCAGAAAAAGGACATTTCCTCACATAGGTACATAGTTGTGACATCTGGCAAAATTGACCCTGATTCCATAATGTGTCTATCACTCAGTCCATATTTAAATTTCTCCAGTCATTCCAGAAATATCTTTTATAGTTTCTCCAACCTAAATCCAAAGAACATGTACTGCTTATGGTTATGTCTTTTAAATCTCTTTAACTCTAAACCAGTCTCTTTGCCCTGGTCTCTTTTTAAAAAGATCAGGCTGATTGTAGTAGGTCTCACGTTCTGGTTTTGTCTGGCATTTTACTCATGGTGTCCTGTTAATGAAACTATCCTCTAAGAGGGAGGTCAGATATAAAAGCTTAGTTAGATTCGGGGTAAACATTTTTGGCAAGCATACTTTTTAGTGATGCGTTTATTCACTAGTGCATGTCACTCTGTTAGTGACGGAGGCTCTAGTAACCGATGTCATCTGGTGACGGTGAGGCTCTCCCTGATGAAGGAGACATCTTCTCTTGGCAAGACTTAAGGATTCTACATACGAGACTTTGGGTCCATGTGARTACCCAGTTCCCATCCTCTTTTAACCAGTCGTTTGAGCACCCGTTAATGAGCTGTATTTGAAGCAATTATCTCATGAGAGGTTATAAGTAGTAATTTAATTTTTTATCATTCCAAATATATTATTTGGAATCATTATGGAATTGTATGGTACTATTATGTAAATTAAAACTTCTTGTTAAATGGAACTATCTGGACACTGTGGATTAGCATTTCTATTATTARTAATTAATTCTGAGGTTGAGTCTGTGAACTCCCCTGGCCCATCCCTGGTTGTGAGGATTGAACCCAGGAGTGCTCTATCACTGAACTTTTTATTTTTTATTTTGAGACAGGTTTTATTAAGTTTCCAAGGCTGTCCTCTAACTTGAGATCYTCCTACTTCAGCCTACAGAGTTGCTGGGATTACAGTCCTGTGCCACCACACCCTGCTCCTATGAACTCTTTATATATTAAAATGCCAAGCTCCTAAAAGAGCAGGTTTTCTGATTTACACACTAGGGAATGCCTGTGTGTTGATCCTTTGATAAGGAGTAACAATGGAAACATCATCACCAGATATTTGTCATTCACAAAAACACTGAGCATGTCCATTCCCTTCTATTTTTCTTACTCTCATTCTGAATCTATGTCATGATATTTTCCTTTAAACTGGAAGAGTGAAACATACTTTCAGGGAGCATATCTGAACCCTAAATCACAGTGAGCAGATTCCTTAGAGATTGTGTCTGTTCTTCACCTGTTAGCCCTCTCACCCTGACTTGAGAATCTACAGCCCAGCAGTAACATGACTGACCTATGTCTTCTTTTCTGCATTTGGTTTTTTTTTTTGTTTGTTTGTTTGTTTTTTTTATCAGCTTTACCCTGTTGGAACTCATCCCACATCAGGATCCAGGCATCTCTTCCCCTCACCATTTTCCCTCTCCCAAGGCCAACATTTATGCTCAAGAAGAAGAAAAAACTATGCTTCACAGCAGAACATTCATGACCTTGTGCTCTAATTCACAACGTGTACGTCTTTGCTTCAAATGGCTCCTCCTTGTTCACACACAGACACCAAGAGAGATGCTATTACTTTGGATCGGTCAGTACCCCTACCACACTGGCTTTTCAATATACTGAACATCACCCCTGCACATAATCAAAATATGTCCTTCAACTGAAGGCTGTTCCAACAGAAGGCCATCTGTGACATAAAGGTTGGAATGGAAACACTTCATTGTTGATGAATTTTAAGATTGCACTTAAACTTGAGGGACAGTGAGCACAGTCACCTCTACTTGCTCCTGAAACACCCAAAACAATACTGAAGGGTTTTGGAAGTAGCATAACCTACAAAAGCAAAGAAAAAAGCTATCTGGGATCCAAAGTCCAGAGGGTCTGACACAAAAAGAAAAATTAAATCTTCAGGATGGTGAGGTGAGAGCCCAGGATCTCTACACATGAAACACAGCGAAGGCTCACAGACCTCAGAGCCTGGCCCGCTGGGCCTCTGCCCACAGCTGGATAAAGTGTAGCATCTCCAGCCACATCAACAATTTACATGTACCCCAAAGCCTTACACCTGAGCATCTGTGTCAAAAACTCCAGGTACCTGCCTCAGCCCTTGGCCAGTCTGCCCTGCTCTCCCATGGGGTTCCTGGAATAAGCAACACTCCAAATTTCGAAAGCAAATACAGTTCAAGTTTGTTTCTTCAATAACAGGAACAGTAAGTGCAGAGGACAATTTGAAGTTCAATTTGAAGCTGGTAAGAAGGCCCCGGGAAGACCTGTTTTGCAAGGAGATGAAATTGACAGAATGACGTATCTGAAGGTACGACGAGCCTCAGCACGGACAGCGCTCACTTCTTCTTGTCTCCACCTGCTGCAGAGCACTTCTTCACAGGAAGACCAGAACGCCCTAGGAGCATCAAGTTGTGCAGAGGGAGGTGGGAAAACAATCCCTCACCATAGATGCCTGTATTGATCAACTAATGCCCTAAAGCAAGAGATTCACCTCAAAACGGCTTGTGGGCACAAAATAAGTGCAACTCTCTGACAGCCAGGCCTGATGAATGCACTTTTAATGACATCAATAATAATACAATCATAAAAGGGAGGAAATAAAGGACAAATGGAATGTACCCAGGAATCATTCTTTATGCCAATATATGTATATAAAAAATGTAACTTGTGGCAACCAGAAGATACTCCCCTTGGCTCCAGCACTTTGATTTTTACACTAGTTATTCTGCTCTCGTGACTCCCTTCTTCTTGGCCCTTCTGTCACTGAGAGGTYAGGATCACTGGCGAGCATGAGAGATAGAACATGCGTGACACAGTGAGGCCCCCACACCTCAGAGCCTGGCCACTGGGCCTCTGCCCACTGCTGGGTAAAAGGTGCAACATTTCCGGCCACATCAACAGCCTACATGGACCATTTGAGCACCTGCACCAAACTTTCAGGTACCTTCCTCAGCCCTTAGCCTGTCTTCCCTGCTGGACCATGCAGTTCCTGGAATTTAGAAACCAAATATAACTGAAGTTACTTCCTTCAMTCGTCTACCCAAGTTGGAATCATTTTTATTAAGGTCCAGAGAAAGTGCTTTGTACCCAGTAAAGGTTTTTGGTTTATTTTAATGTCTGTCATCAAAAATTGCTCTTTCTGTATGATTTTATGTTATGTATTATCTGTACTGATATAGGTGTTGGCTATATTGGTAGCTCATAGTGATTTGTGTTCACATCTCAGGCATTGTCTCATCTGATCAGTTTCCAAAGGCCAAGGATAGAGGACCATATGTCTTGGACTCCCCATCTCTCCACCAGGCAGCACACTCAATGGTGGCTCAAGAAGTACTTTAGAGGGATGGATGATGAACTTTAGGTGCAGGGCTGCTGGTGTTTTATAGAATGGCCTGCTTCCTTCAAGTCCTGGAGTTTTTTAAGAGGGTGAATATCCTTGGTTGGAGATTGGCAGCACTTCCTAATCATCCTCAGTTCCAATGAATGAAGAAAAGCCGCATCAGCTTGGGCAATGAGAATAAAACACTGTATTTTCATCTTTAGTGAAAATCATAGAAACAATGAGACTCTGAGATGATCCATCCAACGCAGCTGGCTGGGCAGTACTTCTGAAGACGATTTGAAAGACGCAAGCTCCGGAGCCTCCCTTCCCACTCTGAGCAGTGAGCTCACAACACAGGACAAGGGAATCCAGCAGAAGAGTCTGGAGCAATCAGCACAGGTGTGGCCAGTGATGCATGGGTTAAAAGTATCGTTTTTGTGTGATGAAGAATGCAAATGATTTCCCATTATTACAATATCAATTATAAAGATAGTTTCCCCAGTTACTGTTGCCATAAAATTTATTCCCAATAATTGAGGGGAAAACATTTGAAGGCTTTGTTTCCAGTAAAAAAGG